TCTGCTGGCTGGGTGCTGGCAGGGGCACCGTAGCCAGTCTGTGCCTCTGTAAGGGGTCCGGGGCCAGGAGGGGGGCAGTAGAGTTTTCCTGGTGTTGGCCAGAGTGGCCACCAGGGAAAGCTGGGGAGGGCTAGCCTCCCACTAGTTTGAATTAAGGGACTACACACCCCTTAATTCGAATGAGTAAGTTTGAACTAGGCTTAGTCCTCGTGGAATGAGGTTTACCTAGTTCGAACTAAGCGCTCCGCTAGTTCCAATTAAGTTTGAACTAGCGGAGCGCTTGTGTAGCGCCTATCAAAGTTAATTCGAACTAACGTGTTAGTTCGAATTAACTTTGTAGTGTAGACGTACCCTAAGGCAGTGGTCCCCAACCTTTTTGGGTGGTGGGCACTGTGCAGGGCTGCTGGGCCACCAGGGGGTGGGGTCTGGGCCACCTGGGGACAGGGCCACCCAGGGGAGGGGCTGCACATAGGCCGCGCACCCGAGGGTGGGGCTAGGGCTGGCTCTAGGTGTTTTGCTGCCCCAAGCAAAACTTTTTTTTGGCCGCCCCCCCAGGACAGGCACTGAGGAGGAAAGCGCCCCTTTCTCTTTGACTCCCACCACACTCTCCGGCCAAACCCAGCCTACGTCCTGTCTCCCCTCCATACAGATCCCCTCCCCCCCATTTTTCTGCACGCACGGAACCCAATTTCCACCTTCTCTCCCAGGCAAACCCGACCTCTCCTCTCAGTGACTAGACCCAGCTCTCCCCCCCTCCCCCCCCAGCCAAACCCGATCCCAACCAGACCCAGTTTGCTTTCTCTCTCCCACCTCCCCCCATGACCAAATTCCGTCTCCTTTCCCTCTCCCCACCAAATCCTTGTCCCCTCCCCACAGCATGTGCAGAAATGTCGGAGCACTCTGGGGGAGAGGTGGAAAGTGTCACGGGTCCCCCTACTTCCCTTTCTCTGCAGCTGTACACACCTTTCCCCGATGTGAAGCGGGGGCCCCTCCCCTGCAAGAGGAGAGAGAGGAGCCACCAGGCCAGGGCTCGCCTGCAGCCGCTGCAAGGGATTCTGGGGCCAGCAGCTCCCGGGGGTGCTGCGGAAGTGCGGAGGGGCCGGCGTGGTAGTGCAGCTGGCTGGCAGCCCTGTACAAACACCTGGGAGCAGGAGCGAGGCAGAGCGCTGGGTGGGGCGCTGCCTGCGCCATGGGGGTGCTGTGGAAGCGTGGAGGGGCTGGCGTGGTAGTGCAGCTGGCTGGCAGCCCTGTACAAACACCTGGGAGCAGGAGCGAGGCAGAGCGCTGGGTGGGGCGCTGCCTGCGCCAGGGTCCAAGCTCCTCGTGGAGCAGATTAGACAAGAGGCTGGAGGGAAGGGGATAGATGAGGGGAGGGGCTGAAATCAACAACAAGCGGCGCGGCAGCAGTGCGAGTGGGGCAGCGCTAGGCGGGCACACAAATGCCCCGGCGGGTGCCATGGCGCCCGTGGGCACCGTGTTGGGGACCACTGCTTTAAAGCATCTTAGTATTGGCAACTGTGTGCCTGGAAATGGTTAATGTGGCTCGGTGGATGCTAGTAACCTGATAGAACACACCTGAAGCAAGAGAGAAGCTTGATAGGATGGAGCCCAGGCAGGCTGGTATAAAACTAGGTAGTGTGGCAGCCAGCAGCTCTTTAATGGAGGAGAGCAAAGCCCTGGGACCCTAGCCCAGAAGGGTGATGCAGCAGAAGCCTGGTACCAATAGAACAGAAAGCAGCCTGTGGAAATAATAGCAAGATTAGGGATGGAGCAGAGCTTGACTGCTATAAGGTCCCTAGGCTGGAAACCAAAGTAGTGGGTGGGCTGGATTTTCGCTACTAGCCCCTGGAATCTCAACTCAGCAACTTCTGCATCAAAGGTGTAACTTGTGTTTGAGGTGTAACATCTCTTAGAATGGTATGCAGTTTTGATTTAATGACTTCTGTGATGGAGAATCTACTACATTAACATTGCACTGGTTAATTATCCTCACAGTTAAATTTGCAACTTTTCTACAGTAGAGTTTGAGGGATAGCCATGTAACTTTAAAATCAGCAAGTAGTCCTGTGACACCTTAGAGCCGTGGTTCCCATGGCCCACAGAGCAATCTGGGCTGGCCCCGCCCCCAGGCGCGCTGTGCATGCCCTTGCCAGCCCTGGTGCTGGCCTTGGCCCCGTGCGTGCCCTTGCCGGCCCCGGCCGCGCAGAACCTTGGGGACCACTGACATAGACCATACATATATTTGCTGAGCATCTTGAACCGATGCTTGACTTCGCAGAGCTGTGCTGCTGTTGCGTGCCCTTGCCGGCCCCGGCCGCGCAGAACCTGGGCTTGACTTCGCAGAGCTGTGCTGCTGTCAGTCTCCAACGTCCCGCCTCTGTTTATTTCCTGCTGCTTGTGAGTTACCACATTTGGAATATACAAAAGCACATGGACAAAAGGGAAGTGACTTACCTGTATAATAACTGGAGCTCTTCCAGATGAGTGCTTTCTATGTATTCTTCAACCTACCCTGCTTTCCCCACAACTACAGACTAATCCCAGTTAGAAGCTGTATTAGGGAAGAACAGAGGGTTGGTTGGTCTATGTCCCCTTTGTGGCCTTAGGTAGGGGAGTATGAAAGGCAGCAATGTGGCCCAGAGGAAGGTGCTAGCCAAATAAATAAATCTAATTTTGAGCACTCATGCCTCAGATTTTAATTTCATAAAGACAAGGCACTGGAAAACACTTCAGTTACTTTAAAGAGAAACAACTTCCTTTTCTGGTATAGCAAATTTGTCTAGTAACCTTGTGAAAAAATGACCAAGTGTCTATAGACCTGGGGTGCACCTCAAGTGCTTTAAAAATGATAGTAGCAATTCAAACATTTAGCTTCTTGGGCAGATCCCAGCAGAAAAATGGTTTTACTGAATTGTTCTTCAATAGAAAACGCATGAAACTGAGTACTCATTTTCCAGGCACCTGCACACATTTTTGGAATTATTATTAAAGCTCATCTAGTGAATAATTCCATTAATAAAAGGCAATACTTTCTATGCCATATGAAGGTGCTCTGTGAAGCTCACTGTGGCAAGGTACCGCCCAGGGCAAGAATGTAACAGGATTAACCGGCTTAGACTTTTTTTTTTAACTGGCTAATTATTAGAGCTGTCCTGGAAATTAAGTTCTGCAGCAGAAATGGTCTAGAGTTTCTGAAACAAAAAATACTCCCTGAAATCAAATTGCTGGCACTGCCCTGCTCCCAAGCTACTGGGAAGTTGGTGGAAGGAGAGGCTGCTTCTCAGACAACTTGGGAACTGGGTATGAAGACCATATTTTGGAAACATCAGAACGTTCCTGCTATGAAAGTTCACTTCCTGTCCTTTAGCACTTTGCTTTCAGCCTTGTGTAGATTAATAAAAATGGTATTTTTAAGCCTCTTGTAAAATGTTAGATGGTACTAATCAACTCCTAAGATTTTAAAGGTGCTAGTACCCAACACTTATAACTTTTAAACAGTGCTTAGTTAGCTAATGTTTTAAAAATTGCCTTTTCCCTTAGCCTAGCAATAGTAATCCCATCCCACTCTTTGCTAATTAGTTTATAGTAATTTTCTTAGACCTTGAATAACCTGTCATCTAATCTGAACTGGTTAGTAACTGATAACAATTGAATAGTTCCAGGATTCAGAGCCCACAAATATACAAGTCCCACCTAATCCAACTGAAGACATCCCACAAAAGGGCTACGTCTACACTGGCCCCTTTTCCGGAAGGGGCATGTAAATTTCAGCAGTCGTCGTAGGGAAATCCGCGGGGGATTTAAATATCCCCCGCGGCATTTAAATAAAAATGTCCGCCGCTTTTTTCCGGCTTTTAAAAAAGCCGGAAAAGAGCGTCTAGACTGGCCCCGATCCTCCGGAAAAAGTGCCCTTTTCTGGAGGCTCTTATTCTTACTTTAAAGAATAAGAGCCTTACTTATTCAAAGTAAGAATAAGAGCCTCCGGAAAAGGGCACTTTTTCCGGAGGATCGGGGCCAGTCTAGACGCTCTTTTCTGGCTTTTTTAAAAGCCGGAAAAAAGCGGTGGACATTTTTATTTAAATGCCGCGGGGGATATTTAAATCCCCCGCGGATTTCCCTACGACGACTGGTGAAATTTACATGCCCCTTCCGGAAAAGGGGCCAGTGTAGATGTAGCCAAGGTGTTTTATTGAAATGCTTCAGCTCAGATTTTCATTTTACTCCCTAAATCAGAGTGGAATGTTGAACACATGGCATGTGCCTGGATCCAGTCTCCTGGGCGTTTTCATATAGCACTCGGTTCACCAAAGCACCCGGGTCACAGCTGCTCCTCTGTATTTTGAACGAAGGAACCGCAAAGGATTGGAGTTAAGAGATGAGAGAGATCAGCTCTTGCTTACTTGAGCTCTGGTACCTGAGCCCCTCCTTCCTCTGCATTCCCTTGCAGCTGTCAGGCCTTCTGCCTGGAAGTGTTTCCTCAAGAGTCTCCTGTGGCTTCCCACAACCCAGCAAAGCCCACTGGACTATGCTCAGGAGAGTGGCTGCTTCACTCTTGTTGGATGGAGGCCTGTTTTAATATGTTCAGGTTAATAGAAGTCCAGCTAAATAAAGTTTATAAAAAGAAATATTGGTATAGACTTAAGTGAGATGAACTAGGATAGGGGTTTGCAAGGCCCTGGTAAAGTCATAAGCTGGCATAAAGTAAAATTGAATGATTCTAGAAATGGGAAAAGTGTTCATCGTTGACATCCCAAAATGTGTTTGGATTGAATTTGAGGATGAGGTTTGCCAAGATAGGCATCACTGCCAGAGCCAGTGGGCTGGAAGAGGCAAGCTTTACAATCATGACTGTCTGTTTTCATTTTCTCCTGGCTTTCAGTGTCCTGATCCTGAAAGGTATGTTAGCCAGAAAGATGGCACCCAAATGACATTACCTCCAGAGTTAAATTCTGAACAATAAAATGTGACTGACATTCCTCCTGCTTTCCTCTCTAGTGCATCTTTTTCCTTCACCTCCTTTTGTTTTGCATTCTCATCTACAACTGTTTTTAATACCGGTTATCTAATTGGTTTACCCTCTTATGTGGATGCACTTATACCAGCAGAAAGGTATGCACACATGGAGAATTTACTCCTGTACTGGAAATAAGTGCCAATATAAGCAGAAGCTCTCTAAAGATATTAATTTAAATCTGTACAACAGGTATATATACACAACCCCTTGAAGTAATATGGCCTTGTTGGCCAAGACAACAACTTTTGCAACATTGCTGTGAGTTTATAATCCAGAAAGCAAGCTAAAAGCAGTGCCTTAAACAACCTGACATAATAGAAGTTTGCTAGGCCTCAGCCTGGTTGACAAGTCTGTGTTGTGCTGTGACTTGCCAGGAGTGAACAAGCATCATAGGCAGAAGTTGCATTCCTTATCATTGCAGTTATTTTTTCTTCCCCTTGTTGTGTTTCATTATACCTTACAGAGAACAGAATTACACTTACCACCAATAGCAGCAACTCAGAACATGTGGCAGTTAAGAATTTTTCAACTCAACTTGTCAGAAATAACCAGTTTAATGAAACTAACACTTTGCACAAAAATAATCAGTCTTGACTTAACTTTTGTCACAAAGGCTTTTCAGGTTCAGAACGGAATTTTTGGGCAAGAACATTGGAGGGGAGCAGGCCAGTTTAGGAGCACTGGAACCTGGGTCTATCACATGCTTGTAATGTCCTGATTCAGAGCAAGGCCATGATTTCAAGTCTTCCACACTCTAGGTGAGTGACTAGTCAGTGGACTATTCTGCTGCAGTCTCTGATTCTTCAAACTTTTAAAGGTCTGAAGTTGGCCCATTCCAGAATTGGAAGTTCTTTGAAATAATTCTTGTATTTTACCTAGTGTTAACTTAGGGGAAGGGGAAATTGATTCCCACATATGTCTACTCGCAAGTCCTTAAGCTAACCCTTTTCTCCCAAATGGACAGGTACATGTAGCTAAAAGGTTAAGGGATGACAATTACAGTCTATAAGTATCTTTGTGGGGAAGAAATATTTAATGACAGGCTCTTCAGTCTAGCAGGGAAAGATACAAGAACCAATGGCTGGAAGCTTAAGTTAGATAAATTCAGACTGGAAACAAGTGTGCATTTTTTTACAGTAATTAGCCACTGAAACAGTTTATGGACAGTTATGGTAGGTTCTCCCTCACTGACAATTTTAAAAATCAGAACTGGATATTTTTCTAATAGATTTGAAATTCAGGAATTATTTTGGGGAACTTCTATAGTTTGGCCTATCTTACACAAGTCAGATCACAATGGTCCTTTCTGGCTTTGGAAACTATGAAAAAGGACAGTTAAGTACCATCTGATGTCATCTAAGGACCATTAAGCAGAGCATGCCTCTTGTTGAGGCTCTACTGCTAATGTGAAAAGGAATAAGGACAATTGTTCAAATGAAAGTCTTCATTCTTTACATTTTAAATGCTTTAATTGTAGTGTGCTAATAAAAAGATTTTAGTGCTGTTACCTCAGGAGTCAAAGTTAGTTTAGTCTGATTGTGTGTCAAGTTAGCAGTCTAATGCTGTAACCACAAAACAAGGATTTAAATACTCTCTCTTTAGGACTGGGACAGGCCTCACCCACTCCGAAACCCCTTTTCAACACAACAATGCTATCATGACCCACAGCAACCAGGAAGGGACCAACAACAAAAATAGAGAAGGGGAAGAAAAGAAGGAGGGAAGACTAAGTGCTGGGGTGGGTGGAATGGAAAATTCCTCAAGTGCAGGATGAGGGAGGGGGGCTAGTTATATAATGGGAAATGCCTATCAGGATAAAGCTAATGGGAAGAGGGAATGCCTAAATCAATTTACTTTTAATAAGTGTGGTGGTGAAGTGTGGTGTTTAACTTGGTAAGCCAGGTGGCACACACTGTAGTCAGGCAAGATGGACTTTGGTTTTGCTAGTGAAATATTTATTCCTGCCTGCAGATTTTAAACTGTAATTAATTAGGTCGTCACCGCAGAATGAGTTACTCTCCCATTCTAAACCTTTTCTCCACCAACCTACCTTTGATGGCTGCATTTGAAGTACTTCCACAGCTAAAGTGGGCCTCCACTGCAGCCACTAACATCGTTAGCCATCAAAATAATCTCTTGCATTGCCCTCTGCAGTGTACCCATTAACTGTAAGATACCACCAATGCTCCTGCCTGTCTGTGTGGTTACACCGTAAGTGGTCAAATCATTCTGGTGATAAAATGGAACATGTTTGCTTATGTCTTTACAAATAAACCAAAGTAAGTGCCAGAATTGCAAAGTTAACATTTTATTGAACTTAAACTGATATAGAACAGAGGGGCAACAATAGTTCAAATTTTCATTAGTTAAAATTCCACTGGGGTGTTTTGCTTTAGGACTCTTAGCACAGTGTGTGCAATTATTGAAAAATAGTTTTTTAAAAACATTTAAAAAAAGGCAGAAAGGGAGATTCCAGCCCTGTTTTTCTTCACATTACCACAGTGCTGTCTAACATTCCATTACTTCCTTTGGTATCCTTCCCCCAAACTGAAAAGGCTACTCAAGTGCTAGCCATGTCTCTTCCCATTAGGTACACATGAAAAAATTTGTAACATTTATGAAAATAATTAGCTGTAAAGAGACTTCCAAGCTAATATGGAATGAATGCACATTTACATTGGCAGAAAGACTAGCTGTGAAATTTCTATTAGTTTAAAATAAGTTACAGTATATGAACTGCTTAATCAATCCAATTTTTGTTTAAGGCATCTTCAGTTATGTGCATCCAACACTTATGCCTGCATATGCTTCACTTAGCATCCTATTTAAATATCTTTAGGGCAAATTTATTGTAAAACTTGCAAAATCAACTGGATACTTAGAAAATTTAATGCCCAATTTAAAAAAAAAACATTGAAAATAGCCAGCAAAAAGAGCTAAAACTTTGTCTGAATTATGTTTTCAATCACTTAACATCTACAATTTAAAAAATGTGCTAACTTGCCCCCTCAATTCCTCCCAGATTAACAAACTAGTAACACTGAAAAACTACGCCATTTGCGTATGAAGGTTTTGCCAACAGTGGACAGCTATTTATTCCCTATGCTCTCAAAACAGCATTTCAAATGTTTCATCAGTTTTCTTCAAATGCAAGACTCACTGGATTTCCTAAAACCAGATACAAACTGGCTCCCCTTCACCAGCAGTGTTGTATTAACAGTAGTGTAACGCAAGCCAAGTTTTTGCCACTGTTTGCAAAAAGTTTAATCTGTTTGAGTGAGATGGCAAACTTTGTGTGACAGGCAGTACTATTAGAGGCCTCACTTCAATAGGCTTGGACATTTGTTCAACAGGAATGTACACTCTAGGGAAACTTTGAGAAATGCTGAATGCAAAAGGTCAAAATTTAGATTAAGACTTTTAAAGTCGTTTGTCGGGTCTATGATAAGCAATGCTAGATCTCTATGAAAGATCAACTTCCAGCTGCAATAGATGCCTATAAACCAGAAGATGTATGCCAGCACAGGTGATTCCTTTTGTACAGGAAGACCATATGAATGCTTCAATTGCAGTAGTCTATTTTATAAAGTCATGGTATCACACAAAGTAGGCACTAAGATAATTACTACATATACTGTCACTGCTTTAGAGTAACAATGGAGTAGATGTTACAAAGTCTGTGCTTTGGCCTGCAGTTACATTTCAAATAGGAGAACACTTAGTGCCTAAAATAGACCATTTTTAGAACCATACATTTAGCCTGAACAATACAGCTATTGTCATTTCATTGTTGCTAATGGATCAACATCAAAAGTTGTTATACTAAAACTTAAGTCACGGGACAAGGCATTGTGTTCAAGTTTACACATTTGCATAACATGTCTGGATTTAATTCAGCCCTCAAAGACATTTATTTCATTGGGAAGCATGCAATTTCCTTTGCATAGTCTTACATTTTTAATAAATGTTCAAGTAATTAAAAACTTAACATGCTGATTGTACCAGTTACAATTAATCAAGTAAAAGCAACTGAAATCTCATCATAGTGTTAGAGATATCAACTTGGTACTAAATAATGAAAATCCTTACATATCTGTAGTGTAACAAAGATCTCATTAACTTGGAAGACAAATCCCTCCTATTGAATCTCACTAGTTAAAGTAATGCATCAAAAGGATTGATACTAAACGTGCACTTCACTGTTCCAGTTATTGTAGTGTACACTTTCTGACATTTCTATAAAACATTTTCTGGTTTACAGTGATACACAACAATTTTTTTTTGATGCTGGAGATAAAGTTTATTAAAGATACTACCAAAATTTTGGCAAACATTCCAAAATTAGATTTGTAAACATAATGCTTCCGTTTTCAATTGGCAGCACTTTGAAAAGACAAATACAATAAGACAAGTAAACAAAGATTAATCCAAAATGCTTATTTTTTTGACCAAATAACTTATGTTCCCACAATGATAAAGTGACAGTTTAAATCAAATTAAAGCAATAAACTGCATGAAATGAAAGTTTGTGCTGTTTGATGATCACAGTATTTTATAGTTAAATATATCTGTTCTTTGTTATATTCCTGGCACCCAGGAGAAAACTCTTTAAATATACATTTCATGTAGGCAATAGCTTCTTGGCATATCTCTCTTCAAAAAAATACTTTATAGCAGTATATAAATAGGTCACCTACATGTTGAATTTTATAATTTTGCCCAAAAACTATAGATCTGTTCAATTTTTGTAAAGAATCAATTTTTCCCAACACTAATAAAGCTGACAAACTGTTGAAATGGAAATGCTTTCATCTTCCACAATAGAAGTAGCAATTTTATAGGAAAAAACCTACAGCAACACTCCTCAGTTGTTTTAACCTGAGCATTTGGCCTACTTGGAGCAGCAGTTTTTTTTCTTCTCTCATCATGCTCACACCCACACAACCTTGCACACATACAGTACAAGCACACACTTTCAGATGCTGGTAGGCCACAGAGTGCTTCCCGCTGTTTTAATAAAATGGGAAGCAGTGTAGCTAATAATTTAACTACACTAAGCACACACTAGCAAACACCTTAAGGCAACCATTGCAGTGGGGGTTTAAGTTGCAGGGGTAAATTACTATTGTCAATGAAGAGGCTGTATATAGCTTTCATATATACACACACACACCTCTTTAACCCTCCAAATAATGTTTTCACGTTCTTTAAAATTTTTGTGCAAATTTTAAACCTTCTACCATTTAAGGCAAAGAGTTTGAATTAACAAAAAAAGGTCAGAAAACAGGCCTATATTTATCCCAAAGCATTTCAACTTGCTACATTGTTTTAATGTGCACAACTTCAAAGTAAAGATACTGAGTCCCCAGTATCTACTGGTAAAATGATTTCCATGGACGAACATAGTCTTAAGGAAAAGAAGGGACCAGAAAAAAGCAGCTTCAAATATGCAGAGAAGCAACCTCAACAACAACAAAAGTAGTAACTCAGGTCTGCTAATACTGAAACTTTTGTAATGCAAAAGTTATCTTTTTAGACTCTTAGAGCAACTCATTTGGAATTTTAAATAAATAAGCTTAAGTTTATTCACATCTTCTGGTCCAAGCAGAGCTTTAGTGCCATGACTCTGCTTGTCGTTGGTCAAATTCACCTATTAGTCTTTTAATATGAGCCAGTTTGTTATGGAGATATTCACATCTGTACTTTTCCTCATGATAGTTGGGACTAGACTGCAAGGAAAGAGAAACAAGTCAGGGTGCAGAAATATTTTTTCAATATCTGAATGTCCATCACTAAAGAGGACATACAGAGCCTGTGCATAGGACAAGCCATATGAAAGTATTTATCATATCCAATCTTTCCACCTCCTAACTGTACACACCTCTTTGATCTTCCGATATTCCTGTAGGACTTCCTCATGAACTACCTGTAAATAAGAAAACTGAAATAAAGACCACCTGAAACCATTTCACTGTTGTAAAGTACAATTAAATATAACAGCTTGAGTGGGGTGAATGTTCAGTTTTACCACACACTTAAGCCTTGTCTACACAAACATTTAGTTCATGGCAAACTGTGTATCAATCTACCCTGCATTAGCCTGTTATGGACTAAGTGCCTGCATAGATCCTGCTGATGTCCATTAACAGTTCATTACTGCTCTTTTAATCCACAATGATAGCGTGAAACAAATAGATTAGCACCCAACTTGCCACAAAATAAATATGTGTAAAGACATCTTTATTCTCTGCTATTGTTGGAATAAACATGATAGAGGAGCAACTTCCTCTGCACAACAGGACAATAGCCAGAGTTCAGGAACAGTGTCTCTTGGCCCATCCTCATTGGGGAAACAGGTTATGGGGAAAAAATTAGAGTTGCTGCTCCAGAAACTTTCCATTAATTTATTTCCTCCCACTCATATATTCTGATAACTGCACAAGAGTATGAGCTACAAACAGCATTAAATGTCTTATCTTATACAGACGTACAATGCCACTTACTGCATAACCCTAGAAAAACAGACTTTGGGTCAACTGTTTGTTATGTATTCTGGAATACTAGAATTTGGTTTAGTGATTAACCTAGAAATTTGGAGGCCCAGGTTCATTTCTCTACTCTGACAGAGACTTCCTGTGAAATGGGGCAAGTCACAGCATCCCTATTCCTCAGCTGTCCGTTTGTAAAATGTAGAGAATAGTACTTCCCTAACCTTCCAGGGATGTTGACGGGATAAATACACAAGACTGTGGGGGCACTTGGAGAATTTGGTGATGGGATCCAAGTAAGTACCTGAGACAAAAGATGCTGCTTCTGCCAAATTATGTATATTTTCCTCCAACTAAGTATACATTCATCTAAGGCTTCTCTATCAAGTCTGGCTTTTATCTTATACATTAGTTTTCAAAAAGCTGAGTATTGAGCTATATATGCTTAAACATTTGGGGTAAATGAAAACCACTAACAAAATGCCTTTTTTTTTTTTTTTTACCTGATACTCCTTAGATCCTGGAGAAAGGCGCTTACGCTGAGCATCAAGTTTCATAAATCTTCTAGTGACATTCTCCATCCTAGCATGTAAGCTTCTGTATTCATCATACTCTGCATTGAAGTCATCCTTGTAACTCTGGCGTTGCTCATATGAGACAATAGCTATATATTTTCTAGTGGAAAAAGTAAAGTTATACTTATCTTCCATAGTAAGATATTTGTATAAATTTGTTACTTTCAATGAATTGTAACTGGAGCATACATTACTAGGCACTTTGCTTCTCAGTAAGACATAGATTTAACTAATTTAAGAAGTACTTGTCCTACTGGGATAATAGACAAATATTAAACTGTACACTTTGTAATACATGGACTCTAAAAGCCACCTCAACCAAACAGTCTTTAACAGAACTTACAATATTTCAATGGCAAATTGCAGTTTATTCACATACAAGTATTTTGCTCCACATGATGTTTTTTCAGAAGTCATTAGACTATCTACAACTATAGGTGCACATAGAACAGTTAACATGCATTCAAATTAAATGGAACCAATGCTTTTGTTTAAATAAGGGGGGAGCTGCTAGCAACTCATTTCCTATGATGTCTCCTTAATTTCATAATGTCTCCTGTATTGATCTGCTGGAGTCAAGTGCATTCACCTCCTCTGAATGCTGCATAAGCAGCCCAGTATTTTTGCTAGTATTTGGGAGGATCTGAATTGATGAGCAAGGATACAAGACTTTATTTCAAGATATGGCAGATGTGTCACATTTGAATAGGAAGTTATAACTAATAGGATAAAAATATTAATTATTAGAGCTGTCAACTGATGTACATTAACGCCTACAATTAATGCAAGCAAGGCAGGATTAACGCATTAATTTTTTTGAAGGAGCAGTGCTGCATGGAGCTGGGGTCAATTGGGGACTCCAGCTGATCCTGGACTCCTGTGGTGCTGCCCCATGGAAATGCCACCACAGTGTTTCAAAGAGGCAGTGCACACGATCGATCGCGATTAATTTTTTTAATCTCTTGACAGCACCTATTAAATATCTGTATTAAAAGTGTCAAACTCATCTAAACAACTTGTGGTACATGACAGACAACATAAAACAAGCTGCAATGAGGCCTGCCACTGAGAAGGACTATCACAACCTTGCCAAGCACAAAAAAATGCTTCTGGCCAATAATGCTACTCAAATCATCAAAAGTTCCTAAGGACCTAGCAAGGCCAAGTTGCTAACCTTGTGAAATTAAAATTAGGCAAACAATCAAAATAGCAGATATCTTTGTCTTTTTTCTAGTTTTCCCAAACACGCAGTTATTTTTGGTCACATCTGATATCAGCCTCAGCCAACTTGCCATCAACTATAACATCCCTGTTGCCAGAGGTACTACCATCCCAGGTACCCCATGTGCATTGAGCACAAGGGTACAACAGAGGAGATACTGCTCAGTAGCATCCTTTGGATTCTCTCAGTAATGGAGCAGGAGCACCTCTGTCTATTCCTTTTAGGTCTCAGAGGTATGTTCATCTTGTGATCAACACAAGAGAGATAGCAGTCACATTTTTAAAAGTAGTCTCTGTTGTATATCCAAGCTCCAAACAAGAACAAGCAGGCTAATGAAGATCAAGGAAATTCTTTGACTCCAAATACAGCAGAACTGCTTTGCCATCAGCTTTTCTTGCTCATTACTTTATTTAGCCAAGCTAATTGGGTACGTTTCTCCTGAAGGGGACTGACACATTTTTCTCCAGTAGAAAGAAAAAGGCCAGGAGAACATGAATCACACAACTGTCTGGAGGTCAAAAATTCCAATACTATTTCCAGAATCTATGAGCACTGTCCAAGATTCAAGGAGAAGATGCACTTTTGTTTCCTCAACCACTACAGATACAATCTGGTTCAAATTAGGAGTTATTTAAGAAGTAGTTTTCAAATGCAACTGACAGTGTTGTCCTAAAAGCTGCTGCTTAATGTTCTTACAGAGAATGCTCAATAAAACACAGTTTATACCTTTCAGCTTTTCAAGAAATGCTGATGAAATGGTAATTTTGAATAGGATGAGAATAACAGTGTCTTTCTGCATTAAAATTTATATTTTAGGAAATATAGGCAATACACAAAATCAAGACCAACTGTAATCCAACAATAAGGCAAGAATTTTGAACTTTGTCTAAACTTTTATTGCCTACCTACACAGCTGCTATCCCACATAAAACATCTTTCATATAGACCACTTCTTCCTTTAAATTCAATAGGCTTGCACTGTTTAGTAATAGATCTCAATCCATGTTTACTCCTCTCCCTTTGTGACCTTTTTTATATAGTCCTAGGTGGCTTTGCTAGAAGCAGTATGTTATACTACACATAGCTGCAGTTTGCGTAGTCAGTTTAAAGAAACATTTGTTAGGTGCTATTGAATTTAACTGGCACAATAGAGACTGACCCACTGCAGCTATGGTGATTTACAAACAAGTATTACATATGGGTAAAGACAACAGAAGAGAACTCTTAATTTGCAGTAATCACTGAACCTAATGTTCAAAGTATTACCATTACTACACATCAGAGGGAGCCTATACGAAAAGAAGAGAACACTACAGTGGAATGCAAACCTAGTTTATTACTCCTAGACCCATACAAAATCTAAATCAAGTCACATAGCTCTTAGGGTCATTTTAGGAGCATCATTAAGCTGGACAACATTTCTATGCTAACTCAGTGCATGTGTTGTCATTGCCTTAATATAATAATTACAGCTGGTCAAAAAAATTCTAACAAACAGGTTTTTAAATGGAATCTGCCAATCTGTCTAAACTGCTTTCTGTAGTCTATTCAGTTTTGGAAACCAGGCCGGTTTCTGACAACACATTGCCTGGATTCCTGCCAGCTTGCTGCCCTGGTTCCTGGACTACAGGGCTTCCAGCATCTGTCAAGTGGCTTGCACTACAGCAGGAACTCCATCTCCTTTTGTAGGAAATGCGTAATTTACATGCTGACTCAGAACAGAAACTAACTTGAAAAAAAAAAAAGCAACATCACTGTGTTAAGTGGAATAGCTTTCTCTTCCCAGTTCTAACAGTGTTATTTGCACTCAACATGTCAAGCTGTAAGTTAGGTGTGGTGGCGATAAAGCTGGGTGGCAGCTGCATGGCTTTACCCTAGCCCCATTCATGCACTTGCTGGTATTATGGTACCCATCTTGCTCTGCCTAATTAGCTCTGTTGGAGTGGCAGGATTATCAGTTGCTCTAAGGAGCAAGGAATTAAGTGGAGAAATGCCTTTGAAAGCTGGGCCAACTTTATTTTAATTCTTTCCATGAATGTTTATCAGATCAATGACTTATGTTAAAGAAGATGGTTGAGAACATTACTGTACCATCTGTTTTAACAACAGAAAACAAGATGTACCAAAATTAAAGTGCTGAATGTTAGAGAAATCTTGTGCTCTGTGGGGACAGAACTCATCTGCTCTCTGTGGGGACTGAAATAATGTTGCAGTTATTCCTCACTGAAATGAGCTCTGACCAAGCTAACCGAGTAGTCCTGTCCTCTCTATTTTACTAGTATATGCAGAAGTGGAGTGTTCTGCGGAAACAACAGGGCTCACTGCCAATATTACAATGGATATAATTGACACACGCAAGCTATAAAACTCTAGCACTGAAATCAAATCTACATTACAATGAGTCACTTTTAGAATATAGCAGCATGTTTGACTTGCAAATTAGGCTTGCATCAACATTTCAATTTTGGACACTAGAACTGCCAGCAAAAGCCTCGCTCTTTTCTGTTGTAAGATGAGGAACATGTTTAAGAAAATCCATGTTGACTTTGTTTATAGTTTTTGGTATAAAGTGAAAAAAAGTCACAAAATAGCAAAAGAGGATTTTGTTAGTAGCGCAGCTGGAACTGAGCAAGATGCTCTTCGATTTTTACATTTTGAAGAAAAATGTAAAGCCACAAATAGAACAGGTGTTGAACATCTGCAGAAGTTATATGTAGGATTTTTATAACTGTTTCAATGAATTCTTCTGATAAATACTGTTTCTTAAATGTTTTAACAGTACATATTTAGCTAATAGACCAGCTCTCTTACAATAGAGGTTTCAGTCAGACAATTTCTTAAAAACTAGAAAATGGTCATCCTTCAGCTGTGCCTAAAGTTACTCAGCTAAATTTCTGGCATATTAAAAAATTTCCACAATCGCCTATGGAATGAGTTAAGAAGTTAAAATGAAGATTTATTAGTGCTTGCCAATTTTTCATACCCATTTGTTCATTTTAATATGCTCACTCTAGTTTCTAGGTGCCATACGTAAATGGAAAAATAAGGTGCTTGCTGATGCATTTTTACTCCTTACTATATATTTATACTCTTCGGGATGCTCAATCTTAATTTTGAATTAAGGTTCCCTGATTTTTGCAGCTTCTTGGTGAGCAGTTTTATGGTAAACCGGTTATTTTTTGCATCAGTTTCAAGTTCAGCCTCTGATCTGGTTGCATGAAACAGTTTAACACAGTTTCCAAGTGGATGAAATCAGTAACCTGGCATTAAAAAGAATCTTCAGAGAATAATGTAATTATGTTTATAATCCAAGGCAAGTTTGGAAGCTATAGACACACTAAGTTACAAATCTCCCCAAATAGAAATATAAAGTGTAGTATGTTACTAAAAAAAGTACTGACATCCAAATATTTGCCCATTAAAGGTGGTGCTGCTTTAGTTTCAGCAACCATCTGTAAAACAACATGGGTTACAATCTCCTATAGGGCTAAAACTATGTAACAAAAAAAAAAAAAAAAGAGAAGTGTCATTTAATTGTAATTGGTGTTCTTTTCATGCCAGGAAAACATGGAATGTTCATTCAAGGTGCAGAGAATGAAAAGCTGTACTGTAGTTAGATATATAAAACTCATGGGCTACGTCTAGACTGGCCACATAAGACGGAATAGGCATGCAAAAGCCTATTGGGGAAAAGCCGGAAAAGAGCGTCTAGACTGGCGCGATCCTCCGGAATAAAGCCTACTTGCAAGTAGGAATAAGAGATCCTCCGGGAAAGGGCTTTATTCCGGAGGATCGCGCCAGTCTGGACGCTCTTTTCCGGCTTTTCCCCAAGCCGGAAAAAAAGCGGCGGCCCAGTTTATTTTAATGGGGATATTTAAATCCCCCGCGGATTTCCCTATTCTGACTTGCCTGCTTTGCATGCCTATTCCGTCTTATGTGGCCAGTCTAGACGTAGCCATGTAGAAATATAGCTGAGCATATATCTTACGATCATTACTAATGTGTATTCTGTATAGACATTTTGTACACGTGTTAACCAAAGCTATATTAACTGCAAAGTAACAAAATTACAGTTTATTTTATATCTATATAAGTGAAAACTTTAGAGACACTTATACTGGTGAAAGTATTCCAACACTCACTGAAATCCCTCAATTAAGCCAGGACTTGTTTTATCACAGCCCATCTTTCCCATTATTTAATCTTGCAAGGATATCAGTCCTGCATTTATCACATCACAACCTCTGAGGGAAATTGTGAATTGCTAGAACTTAACTAGAATATTAGAATGCAAACACAGATGGCAAGGAAAAATATCTTGTTCAAAACAAATCTGATATATTGAAAGCAAGGCAGAAACCACCACCCACTCCTCTTTCTGAGTTACAAACAATCCTTTATCATAGAAAAAGAATGAAATGTTCTGCCTCA